AGATGACCTCTAAGGGTCCCTTCCAACCCAAAACATTTTATGATTCGGTGCAAAGAACACCATGAAATCACGTGATCTTCCATGTTTGCTGTTTCCCCAATGTTGTGCATGGAACAGTGCACAAAGGGCTGAGCATAAGGCTCCTGCTGACAGGAACAAATGTTAGAAATAAACTCCTAAAGGGTTCCTGCAGTGGGAAGAAAGGTTTCATCTGGGTGGTTAAACTGCTTCAGAATCAGCTTGCTCCAGAGCTTTTCCCACAGCCAGTAATTCCAGAGCGCATTTCTCGGGAGAGTTGCAGTGAACAATTCTGTGAACAACTTGTCTTGGAGCCCAGATCCCGCTGACTCTGCCACCTCCCTCTGGAGCTGCCTGGTCCTGGCTCCAGGCTGCACTTCAGCCGAATCTGCTGGACAGTCTAGAGGGCAAAAGGCTGGGAACGCAGTCCAGTTTCCCGGTGGGGCAGGCACTTCCCCGAGCTGGAGTGGCCAGCACTGCTGTAGCTGTGTCCTCCCGGGCAGCTGCCTTTGGCGTGGCGCAGCGTGCGCGGGCGGGCGGGGACAGAGCACAGCACCCGCGGTCCGTGCTGTGACCTGCTTGGACACCCTTTTCTACAGGGACCTGAATGATGCTGGAATCAGTGTCTCGTTGCAGTAACCCGGTGAGAGCGTGCACAGTGAAGCCAGATTCGGTGTAATTCTGGGTCAAATCCAGAAATGGGGAATGGAGGGAGTGAGAGGAGGAAGTATCCCAGGGCTCAGCTCTGGGGTCAGTCTTGCTTAATCTTCATCTGGACAAGGGGATTGAGGGCACCCTCAGTCAGTTTGCAGATGACACCAAGCTGGGTGGGAGTGTGGATCTGCTGGAGGGGAGGAGGGCTCTGCAGAGGGACCTGGCCACGCTGGAGCCATGGGCCCAGGCCAGCTGGGTGAGGTTCAACAACGCCAAGGGCCGGGTCCTGACCTGGGGTCACAACAACCCCATGCAATGCTACAGGCATGGGGAAGAGGGGCTGGAAAGCTGCCTGGCGGATGCACCTGGGGCTGTTGGTCAACTGAATATGAGCCAGCAGTGTGCCCAGGTGGCCAAGAGGG